AAAGAGTTCTGATAAAATCTGCACCTCGTTCCACCAGGGGTGCCCTCTGAGTTCGTGGTCAACACCTGTAATGCCGGCTCAGGCGCTCTGTCCGTCAACATCGACGGGCCTTCCAAGGTGAAGATGGACTGTCGGGAGTGTCCAGAAGGCTACAGGATCACATACACGCCCATGGCGCCCGGCAACTATCTGATCACCATCAAATACGGCGGGCCTCAGCACATAGTGGGCAGCCCCTTCAAAGCCAAAATCACAGGTCTGCTCGATAGTCATTCCTCCATCTGATCTGTGGGTGACAAATGTCACAATAATGAGACAAATGTTCTGCTATAAAGAAAGAAATTGTGGCAGTTTTGGAAAAAAAAAGGTTATGTCATACGCATTTGTGAGTCTTGTTTACTACAGCCATCCAGTATTTTCACTTTCACTGGTTATTTTTAATGTGATACCTTCAAGATTTAAAGAATCCCCGAGAAGTTATGAGAGTTTACCTTATCCCCGAGTGGTGTTAGATAATTCTGTATTGGAGCCACTTTCTCTTTTTTGTCTGAATTTGAACTAATCAACAGCTTCTGTGCTTTCCTCATTCCTCTGTTGATACTCAGTGAGTTATGTAACATCGAAGGCACGACATTTTCCGATAAGTTTTCTGTTACTCTCCTCCTCTGCAGGAGCACGGCTGTCAGGGGGACACAGCCTCCACGAGACCTCCTCCGTTTTGGTGGAAACTGTCACAAAGACCGCCAAAGTCGGCGCCGCCTACAGCTCGATGTCCTCCGCCACTTCAGCAGCACTGAAATGTGACGCCAGCAAGGTTGTTTGTCGTGGAGCGGGACTGTCTAAAGCTTTAGTCGGGCAGAAAAACAACTTCACTGTTGACTGCAGCAAAGCAGGTGGGAAGATACATTTAGGATATATCTCTGGGAATTGTACACACATACCAAACAGAGGGATTATTTTCTATTTGCATGGATGCTTTTGCACCTAATGGTCATTAAAGATGCTAATCCTAACAGTAAAAACACATTCAAATAAAGTCAATATATTCAGTGTGGGATCTCACAAAATATTTTCTTCTTAAAGGCACATGGAAGAGAAAAAAATGGATAATCCTGCTTTGAATGTATTCAGTTTGACTTAACTAGAAAATAAAGCTAAACCGACAAGAAAAAAAAAATTCAAAATCGATCGTTAAGGATTCTGGAGCGTTTTAATTGCATACAGTGCACCCTTATAAGAAACTGATTCGTTGCAAATGTTACCAGACTCCTAGCCTCGTGAGACCATCTTAATCTCGCGGGCTTTCAAGGTTTCCCTCGCTAATCAGTCTGGAGACTCTCCGTTAAAGAAAATTTGGAGCCGTTCACCAAACGAACGTCCAATCAGCGTTGGCTTTGAGGCGGGTTGAGGTGTGACGCAACGAGAAACGCGACAGTTCAGTCTAAAGAACATGGCGGCTTCAGCCGATAAAACTAGCGTTAGCGTGGCTATCGAGCAAGTTTTATGGGAATTACAGAGTATTTCTTCACTGAAAGAAGAGCAAAACACTGCTCTGGAGGCTTTTCTCAGAGGAAAAGATGTTTTTGCTCTTCTCCCGACTGGTTTCGGCAAGAGTAGCCTGGCTGTTAGTACGTCATATGCTTCGTTGATCTGATTGGTTTATTTGGCCCGTCTATCACCAACATAGGCCAATCAGCTAACCAGTATTTTCGCTCCTTCCCAAAATTACTTCAAACGAAGGTTTCCAGATGGATATGCGGAGCAAATCCATCTGGTGGAGTCAGGTTACCAGACTCCTGGTACTGTAGCACTTTCACATAAGGCTGTAGTGTTTTTTTGTATTCATAAATATCACAAATAGATAACCTTTTAAGAAGAAAACATGATTAACAACCTGCAGAAAGGAGGAAACATTGAACAAGAAAATTACAGCGTACCATTTGATAAGCCTCCATATGCCTCATGTGATAAAATCAGATCAAGCTCATATTAGTTTTCGGGAGTGTAGATTACGTACTGATTAGATAATGATTTAAAAGAAATTAGCAAAAAACAACATGAAGGTTACCAAGACTCCTTTTTTTAAAAGTGAAAATGAGTTGGGCTGTTTAGGAAAGGAAAGTCATGTTTGGTTTCTATAAAATCTCTTTTTTATCTTTCTGTCCAGGTACCAACATGCTGATGGTGGGCGTGCATGGACCCCAAGCTCCATGTGAGGAGGTTTATGTCAAACACATGGGAAACAAGATGTACAACGTCACCTATACAGTCAAGGATAAAGGCAGTTATACCGTCATTGTCAAATGGGGAGACGACAATGTCCCAGGGAGCCCCTACAAAGTGACGGCACCTTAAAAAAACTGCAATACGCGACAATTTCTAGACCTGTACTCCTTTCTGATCATCTGCAAACAAACTTCTTTAGTTGAGGTTTTCTGACGCAGCACACTTTTCAAAGTGCTCTCCAAAAATGAAACAACTTTGCTTGCAGCTGTACTGATTGTTGAAAATCAGTTGTGCCAATGTTTTCTTTTTTATTGACTTCTGAAATGAGTGATACACCCAGACGTAGATTAGCAGGAATGGAGCAGTAGAGGGTTTGTGTGAAGCTTGTTGATTAAAATCTGCTCCGTCTTTACTGTATTGATGTAAACAGGTGACACACTTCAATAGTTAAGAGATGCTGAACTTATTGATGGTGTTAAAGTTTGTTTTTCTGTGGTTTTGTATGGTTTAAGAATGAAAGATTACATTTTTTGTTATTAACCTTTTTGGTAAGTCTTTGAAGACCTAATAAAGATTTATTTACTAACTTTCCTGACAAAAATGATTGGAGTTATTTGATTAAACTCAGGCACTCATAAGGTGGTTTATTGGTTTAATTAGAAATTCTGATAAACAAAACAAAAAAAATAACTTTTACAAACAGTGACAAATGGAAGCCTTTTTTAAAAGTTAATATTGCAGAGTGTCATTAGACATCAGCAGGACACTGGAAACAACACAAAAATTTAACTTTTTGTCCACATGGCAGCATCATGCTTTGGGGAAGCTACTCTTCAGCAGAGACAGTTTAAGTTCGTCAGACTTGAAGCCAAAATGGATGTCGCTTCATTTAGGCCAATCTTGAGAGAAAACCTTTTAGAGTTAAGAAGGAATGGCTCTAAGGTTCACCTTTTTCTCCCGTCCGGGAGATAAAATAAAGGACAAAACATTTATTAGACATTGCTGAACTGATACTTTTTCTCCTTATTTACAACATGATTTAGATTAAACACAGAGATGGGAAGTAACGAAGTACAAATACTTCGTTACTGTACTCAAGTAGATTTTTCTGATATTTTTACTTTACTACTTATTTTTATGGCGACTTTTTACTTCTACTCCTTACATTTTTACACAAATATCTGTACTTTCTACTCCTTACATTTAAAAAAATTGGCTCGTTACTTTAGTTTTGAATAATTTCAATGGAGTTACCGTTATTATTTTTCACGTCATCAATACCAAATTCAATCTAATTGGATGGGAATCTACGTTGCATTTGACGCACCACTACAAGATGAATTGACAGATTCGGTGGTATTCATTCGCGGCAAATCATTGCAGCTTGGTGGCGGTGGCGTTAGCATAGTAGTATGGACGACGAGATGACTGAAAATGAACACAACAGAGATCTAGTCCTATTGGCAGACATGCATTTAAAATGTAGGCAACGGCATGAAAAAAGTGGTTTCTACTTTTACTTTTATACTTTAAGTAAATTTACAAGCCTGTACTTTGTTACTTTTACTTGAGTAAAGAAGTTTAATCAGTACTTCCACTTTTACCAGAGTATTTTTTAACACAAGTATCTGTACTTTTACTCAAGTACGGAAAGTGAGTACTTTTGCCATCTCCGGTTAAACATGACGGCAGCGTCATCAGGTTGGGACGTTTACCTTCATAAGAAACATACATTAAAAATCAGGAGAAACCCTCCCAGACATAACAAACTAAAGTCTTAATGTACCTTCCAACAGGAGAACAATGAAAAGCATCCAAGCAGTGCAACTTTAGAAACTGTGTTTCTGTGTGAAAACAGACTAGTCAAAGTTCAGTGTAAGACTTGATATCTCTACCTCTGGTCAGACTGAGCTTGCACTATTTTGCTTGGAGCAACTGTCAAAATGTCAGTCTTTAGATGTGAAAAGCTTTGTACCACCAATACTTTGGATCTTTACACTAAACTGAATCCATATGCACTCTGTACTTAAAGTTTACATGTAAAGAATTAGAAAACTGTGCACCATTTTCTTTACCCCTTAATAGGGACTGAATTCTACTCTGTGGCCATCAAAAAAGGTCTATTCACTTTCAGATTAAATTCAACAAGAACTTTCTTTTTGCCAGTTGGGCAACTACTGTAGCCACTTCTAATTTGCCTTATTTATTGTTTCATAGTAAAGGCGACTAAAATAAAAATAAAAACAGGATCTAGGTTTTCTTTTTCCATATAACATTTATCTGCTACTTTATGTTTGCCTATAACCTAAAACTCCATCAACGGAAATGTAAAGTGTGTATGAGGCATTGTATGTAGCTACTGTACTTTCTGCAGGTTTAACTCTGTAGCACGAACTATTTCTCCCGAAGCCCTTCATTAATCTTTAATCTGCCTCTACTACTAGATATTGCATTATGAAAAAGAACTCACCAGGATGCTCTCCTGGCCCTCTGATTTATATTCTGCACATGTCCAGATGCAATCACAAGATGGCAGCATAGCATAGTCAAGCTCACATCTGTATATACGCCTAAACAATAATCCCCTTTGTTCCTGGTGAAGATTAACTACACCATCGTCACCACAAGGGAGCCCGGGGAGAGCAGAAACCAGAGGCATCAGCTTCTATTGTGTGTGTAATTAATCCTGTTGGATCACGCATGGAACACAAGTGGATTCTGTTGCGTCTCCCTTCACCAGGGGGGGGGGGGGGGGGGGGAATGGACCCTGCTGAGGCACAAACCAACCAAGAAGGCGAGGAAGGCAGGCGGATCAGTTCCATGGATCTGCCTGTATGTGGATTCACTCTATGACCTGTGTGCCTGTGTGTTCCTCTTGTGTCCTCTGCCTTGTTTTCAGACCTGAGTCCCACTGTGAGTCAACCATGCAGCCCCCGCATGGTGACACACTCCATGGGCACCAGCACCATTCTTCACAGAGTGGAGCCTATAATTAGGTGTTAATTTTCACTGGTTCCTCTCTGACATAATGCTGGGGGCCATGCTGAGGCAGAGACAGAGAAAGCTTGCCGGGTTCATCTGACGAACCGAGACGAGGGCTACAACTCCAGCAGGACCAAGTGACCAAGGGGCTGGAGCTGCCTGATGCTTCATGTTCTGATGATGGGAACCTGGCCAAGGTCAGGGCCCACCCACGTCAGGCTGTCCTTCCCCATTCGTACTGGGACACAGGCGTCTGTCCTCCACAACATGTTTATTTCAAGCTGCTGCCAGTTGAATCCATGATGATCCAGCTCCTCCCATTGCAGGCAGCAGCCTTCAAGCAGGCAGGATAGAGAAGGGGGGGAGTGAGAAAGATAGATTACAAGGATTTAAAGAATCCAGATGGAAAATATAGGATGCACATGTACACTCATCATATGAAAAAAGGAAATCAATCAGTCATTGCCCCAAAGACAATTAGAAACAAAAATGCAGGAGAAATCTTAACCGATTAGCCAGACTTCTCTGAAAAATGAGCTGAACTTATTTGAGGTACAAACAACATATCATAGTGATTTATTTGTTTTGCTTTATATTTAAATAAAAAATGTCCTTACATGCCTGATTACTGTGAAATAAGGCCTGTAAAATTTAAATTAATAGATTTGTTTTTGAAGGTGAATTACGTATGACGGCAGCAAATTCTTTAAGATGTAATAAAGAAATCTACATGGATGTAAAAAAAAACATTTGGCACATGACAGACATTTGCAAAGAGAACCAAGGTCCAAAGGAAATTAGCTAATTTCCTAATCAAATAATCATTAATCAAGCCTCTTAAGTAAAGTTGTTATAAAAATAGCTGAATGCCACAAAGACCTAGTGCTTGATTTCTCCCCAGGATAGTCTGGGACTGGAGAGTGGCTTCAATTGGTTAGTAGAATGGTTCCCAAAGTAGGGGGGCACACCCCTGTGGTGGTGCTGCGTAATTCCAGTAGGGGTGAGGTAAAAACTAAATAACCAATTTTGAGAGGTATAAAAAAAAAAGTTCAGTTCTGTTAAGCAGTAACAGTTCAGGGGATATTGGGGGATGGGTGTGGAAAATTCTATTTTGAATGAACTTGAGGCAGGATGAGGAAAAGAGACTTATAAGTGACACGACTGGTGCTGTGAATAACTGCAGGCTCCAGCCAAGCCGGCACTGAAGCATGCAGAAATGCTTCATGGACAGGTCGTATTCACTGATTTGCACTGCGTTGGTGATGCTGTAACACTGTTTACTACATGATGGTTTACTACAAGACCTCCACGTCTATTTTATGACAACAACAAGCACCATGTCAAGCGACAAAGTAAGAGTTTGAAACAACCGCCTCTTATGTTTATGCATTTAGCAGACGCTGTTATCCAATGCGACTTACAAAGTAGACCCAATTGCTTCTTCTTCTTTTACTACCACTACTGCTGAAGCAATCTGCGACTCCCAGTATTAAAACTGTTGGGGGAACTCAAGCAGCATCAATTAATGTCACATCCGTAGGACTGCACAGGAAATTTGGTCCCCAAGTTCCAATGTATTATCCAGTACCCAGCCTATTTAAAGTGATGAGATATGTGGGTTCACACTTCATCCCCTATTAGCATAAAAAAAAAATTGGAAATGCATGTCCTGGACATGTGATCCTGTGTTCCTTATTTTTTTCCCCCTTTGGTTCTATATAAAATACAATAACATTACCAGTATTCTAGTGATAAAGCAAGAAGCCAGAAAGAGAAAAGTATAAGTTCAGACCAACTGTAGTGTAATGATATAACAATAGTCTCTCACTGAACTTGTCAAATATTGACCTTTGGTCATGTTCCTTGCAACAGTTACTAACGGGATGGGGTACCCTGTCATTTATCTCGCGTAGAGTGCATGACAGGTTGTGGCAGCAACATAGGACAATTTTCTATGAACTGTAAAGCAAAAGACTACCAATAACCCATCACTCATTCATGATAGAAAGGGGAACTAAGGTCCAGATCAGTGTTGGGCCTCTGAGACTTAAAATCTGTAAAAGTTTCTGATCTATCATTGGGTCTTACAGTGTCAGCCTATTTGCAAACAAGGAGGGTGAGGTTGCTTGAGGACCCAAAAGCAGAGAGGAGTTCTTGTAGATTTAAAAATGAATGAAAAACAAACAAACAAACATCCAAAACACAAAAAATACTGAGAACCAAGAAACACAGAAAACATCAGAGAAAACTCACAGGGAGAGCCAGAGACAAGGAAACAACTAACAACAAAAAGGAACCAGAAAACAGTGACTGAACATGAGGTGTATAAATAGGAGACTGAACAAAGACCAGGCTAATTAGCAGATATGAAGCAGGTGTGGTTGGAAGTGACTAGAAGGGAGCTAGGGGAATGAAGACAGGCACAAGGGTGCAAGAGAGAGTAACTTAAGACTGGCTTAAACACAATATAAAATGGAAAACAAACAAGAAACCAACAACAAAGAAACATTTAGATAATGAAAACTGAAAACCAAAAACTCAAAGTCTCAAAAGGGGAGAACCATAACACATATCATTAACCTAAACACACATAGAGCCGAGTAAGAAATCCTTTACTTTTAGTACTTATTTTAAAAGTTTTGAGCTGTACTTGTTTACTCATGTGTTTTTTGTTTTGTTTTATTTATCACAGTATATCTCTTAATTAAATATATACAGTACTGTTACTGAAAATCATGTTTATGCTTCAATATTTCTTCATGCACCATTTTTTTTTTTTTTTTTACATAAGGCCATTGATTTTACGTTATCACGTCATGATCTACTCACCCATATGAGTTTTGTGTCATTTGGAGCCGTTCTGAAGATATTCCGTTAGGTTATATCCAAGTAACGTCTTCCTATGGGAAACGAGTTGAAGGCACAAACTAAACTGTTCATAATTTATCATTTATGGTACGCCAGCATTCATAACATGTAGGCGAATCACTGTCCCCCGGACATCTGCGGTTATATTTTATATATTTATATCTTTTAAAAACAAAGCGGCGCGTGCATGACATCATCCGCGCGCCGGACTGGAGTTGTGACAGGCAGCCCGGGCAACAGGTGGCTACGCTCTACCCCTTCTATTCATTCGGCTAGCTAATCTGAATCGTTTAATTCCATTTGGAGAGCGAGATCCTTTGTGGTAATAGCACTAGACATCTTCCAGGCATGTGAGTAAAACTAGCTGCAGTTCAGTGGACAGGAAGAATGAACGGTAGCCGGCGTGCACGGATGATGTCATACACACTCTGCTTTGTTTTTAAAAAACATGAATATTAAAAATATAACCGCAGATGTCTGGGGGACAGTGATTCCCCAAATGACAGCTTCAAATGACACATAACTCTTATGGGTGAGTAGAACATGATGTAATAATGTAAAATCAAGGGCCCAATGTAAAAAGAAAAACGGTGTTCCCCTTTAAGGTTAGGGTGACCAGATGTCCTCTTTCAAAATCATCCTGGATTTTGTTCGACTAGATCGAGCAGGGCACTGCCGGGCAGGCGGGGAGAAGCACGGTAAGGCAGGCGGGGGAAAGCATACCATCTACGGGTCGGGTTCGGTCGCTCCGTCCCCAGCTGGCTCCCTGCCCCCGTCCGCCGGGGTTCCTGGACCAGCCCTGGAGCTGACGGCTTGGTTCGAATGCTTGGTCCGGTTCCTTTTCAGAAATCCAAATCTGGTCACCCTAATTAAAGGGGAAATGTATGAAGCGGCTTTTCTTTCTTACTATTCTTGAACCCCAATCCTTTACCCAAACACACTACCGCACACACTCACAAATTGGGATTATATTAGAGTAACATTGTGTTAAGGCATGCGTCTTTAAGCTTTTGAAGGTTGTGCTCTCAGGGCAAATATCTCATTTTGTCGCTTGCGTCTATCATGCTGACTCCTGCTCTCCATCCGCTCTGCTCCAGCCTTCATCCCGCCCTCTCTTCCCACAAATTCAATTTTTCCCTCCCAATCCTCAAATTCCAATCAATCTAAGCTTCTACATATGCTGTGCTCTGTTCCCCATCTCAACATTGTCTGTCACCTCAAGCTCTGTCCTGGGGCCTCCTTCTCCATTTTCCCTCTGACCTTTTATCTGTCAGTGCGGCTTCGATCTTCAGACTCGATCCCTACAGACTTTGTCACAAGATGCTGACATGTCATAAAGAGGATAAAAAAAAAGAACACTTCCATAGCTGAGGAAACTGGCAAACACCCAGACTAAATGAATGTTTGCACAAACAAATGGCTGCCCAGCAGGTTAATGAATGGACGTGCAGAAAGGGAAGGAGAAAAGATTGCTGCAATAGAAACTCATTTGTTTAATTTCAAGCCCAAAGGCAGGGGGGACATAATTGCTTCATGCATAGTTGATACACTGAATAATCAAACAAATACATTTGATCCTTTATGTTGAAACACAATCCTTGAATGCCCGAGGTGGAGCTGATTTCACAGAGCCTCATAGAAGTGTTCAAAATTTTTCACGTTGTCATTTTAAAACCACAAACATTTGTCAGAATTTTATGAGTCATTGCTTTTAATTCCTTTTGAACTTTCTGTTGTGATATTATTTTATAGTGTCATGATGTGATTTAAAGGTCTGAACCAAAGATGCAGAAAACCACTCAGAGAGCAAGACAAAAGGTTAAACAGGTTTATTAAGGTTAGGGTAAAAGGGGTTGAATTTGGAACTCAGTGTACTCATAGCATCCAGTCTGTGTGGGTTGATCAGAGAAGGGGGTACATGTTGAAGAGTGGACAGTGTAGACATACTTTGGACCCGAAGGAGAACTGGAGCGTACTGTCACTTGGATTTCTGTGAAGGACTTGAACGGCACATGTGGAGGTTTCTCCCCTGCTCAGTGTGAACTCGGTAAACAATCCTTCCAGGGGAAGAAGGCCAAACATCCAGTATGGAGGAGGACTTCCTGCCAAAGGCAAAGACAAAAAACAAGGTTAGACTCAGAGAGACAAAGACTCAGTTTGACTCAGTGAAACAAAAACTGGCAAACACTCTGGCATCGAGGTAGTGACAGTCCACCGCTTAAGTACTCCTCCAGATAATGATCCAAAGAGCCGCAGGTGTGCAGGGAGGACCAACAATGACAGGGCGCCATCTGGTGGTGGAGGGAGAGACAGACACAAAACAGACCACACAAACTGTCTTCCTGACATATAGCCACCCCATTAATCCAAAACCACTAAATACAATCAATTTCAAACTATTTGCTTAGAGAATAACCAAAGTGTAAAATAAAAAGGCTCAGTAAGTGAGTTAATATTAACATAAATTCAGCTGTCCTGTGAAGCCGCTTGTTGGAGAACATTAATGAACCAATGAGATTATAAAGACCAGGGGTCACAGCACACAGGTATGGGAAAAAGTTTCGAAAAAATTATAGGTGAGTTATTTAAAAAAAAAGTATTAACCCACTGACTGACATTACCATAACGCAGTCTGCATGGTTCTGGTCATTTTTAAATACAACTAATCATATGGATCCATTTAATGGGCTTTTACTAGCCTTATCTACTTACCAAATAGCTAGTAACTTTTTTCACCAATCAAACAAAAAATATGTATTCATCCAACTATTGATTATTACCCTCACCAAGGAGGTTATTATTTTAGGAGGGTTTGTTTATCTGTCTGTGTACAGGATCGCTTCATAAGTTATGAAAGGATTTTTAATTCTTACCAAAGGTGAAACGTCAGTCCAAGGTAAAATCCATTAAATTTTGGTGATAATCCACAACATAATCAGGATGCAGGAATTTTTTTTAAAGGATTCTTTAAAGGAAAAGTCCCGTCAGTAAGGAATAATCAATGGATCATTATCTATACCTAAGACTAATACATTCGCGGTGATTTAATGAATTTAGCGTTAATCTGTAAAAAAATTAAAATAACTATTTCGCTGTGGTCACTGAGTCTGGGAGTGGCCATTTTTGCACAAATATAGTACCACCTCAATCCTGACATATTCTGACAATTACATCATGTTGCGATAAGCCTAGCTAAATCAATCAATGGGAACTACTAGACACATCTGCAATCAACAACAATTATTGAAGATTTCCAGAGGACTTCACCATTGAAATTCACCAGAGCTATAGTCAAACTGACAATGCCCACGTGCATGGCAGCTGGATGTTGGAATATATCAGGTAAAAGTGAAAATTTTTTTTGTTATTTCCCCTTTCCAATTCCTAATCCTCCATGGACGAGTTTGTCGTTGGATCGCCAACTTCAAGAGGGAGGATTTGCCATCGAACTTCTGACCAGAGAAAAAACCCATAATATGTAGCCAACATTTGGAAGAAGAATGTTTTCAAGATGACTTGGATAATAATGCGTTGTGACAAACACCAGATACAGCACTGGGACTTGATCAACAGCCGATACCGCACCGTGACGTCACAAACCAGTAGGTGGCAGTAGTGTTCTTTGACAAACATGGATTCCTCCAGTAAAGCACATTCAAATGAAAATTACTCTTAATTAAAATCACTTATCATTTATTGAAGTGTTTGTAATAATTTCATATTTAAAGTATTTTCAGAAGTTTGACTTCTGAATAAGACAAGATTTTTAACATTATGTGGTGGAAAAAGCATTTCCCCTCTCAACCAGAGGGTGGCAGCAGTGACTATTGACAGTTTCAGCATGGGACTAAAAAAATTCAAGAAGTGTTATACTGAAGACCACAACATGGGAAAGGTGAGTTATGCCTCGCATGAAGTCTGGATCTGCTGATCAAACAAGAAAGCACAAACAAGAGAACAGAGCAAACACCAGAGGCTGCAGCCACAACTTATGTCTTATTCATAAATGTGTGAAATTTAAAGAAAATATTTACCAAAGGTGCACCTCATGCCAAGGAACTATTAATTTAAAATAGGTAATGATCCAGATCTTGTGCGAGTTTTAGCTATAGGTGTAAATCACAGTTTGCGGCAAAATTTGCTGCTTGGTGGAGGTCTGCGTTTTTCAAGTGCTTTTCTAGTACATTTTTGCAGATGTTGAGATGTGCAAAAAATTGGAGCAAAAAGTGAAGATAACTACATTTTGTATCAAGATACATTTATGTTTGGGTTAAAGTTATGGACCAGTGCGTATTTCTGAACCCAGGTATGGTAACATCTCACCGTTTAAGTTTATTATCCAAAAATGAAAACAAGTACGAAAAAATAACCCTACCATATATGGATATTTGCCATTAGAATGAAAATAGCACAGCAATGATATGATAACAGCTATGGTCAGATAAGAATAAAACAAATAATTTTCCCAACAAAAAAACGCTGTATGTTGAAAAAAAGTAAAACTTTTACATCAAACTGAAAGTGCCACCGCCACGGGAGAATTTAAACATGACTGAATAATGCTTTGTGGTTTCTTTTCTTCAGCAGAGACAAACTGTGCTTTTCAAAGTAGAGTAGAGATGGCGATAGATAAAGAGGACTTGATAGAGGCTGCTAAAGACTTAGACCTGGGGTGAAGTTCACCTTCCAGCAGGAGATTTACACATAAATTCCCATCAACAGTAGAAGGATTTAATCAAGCATTGACTCAGGAAGGGAACTTGTAAAAAGCATGCACACTTTTCCTTCCACCTCACAATAATGTTCTACATAAGGCCATTTTATGAAAGAGGAACGCTTGGGGTTTAAACAAGGAAAACACAAAGAAGGGGTATAGTCTTTGCAAGGCACTGTTAGTGTCCCAATAGGGATATGCGTTTTACGTCTGATTGTTGTGTTTTATTCATACAGAACAAAGATGAAAAATTCATTACTGCTTTATTGCATTATGCTTTCTTCTGTGTCGCTTACCTCTCTTGAACACAATCTTGATTAAAAATCGGATGGACTGTTGCTGAAAATTGGCTCCCCTCTTGTGGACCTGCAAAAACAATGCAAACGGATGAAAAGGGGACTCCCATCAGGCTCTGGAAGATTGTGTTCATGCAGCATGCAGATGCACTAGGCGTGAAGCCGATCCAGCACACCTCAGACCCCTTTTGCTCAATATGCTGCACTATAGAGAGGGACGGATTTCAGTTGATGGAAGACTCAGACGAGAGATGCATGCCAAAGACCCTCATGCCTCCCCCTGCAAAGCATTTTTTTACACAAGCAGCAATAATCGTGCACGCAAACACTAGATTAGGTACTTTTCTCCCTCCACAGACACAAAGCTCCCACATACAATCTTGACCCAGGCATAAGCATGAAAAGTAACAGCATGATGTTAAATGCTTTGCCTTCATGAGGTCTGAAACTAGCAACAGCCTGCGGCAAGAGAAGAGAAAGCTGTCGCTATGTACTGGAGAAGGTGTACTTTCGCTTCTTTTATGGAGCAGCAGGACATGTCAGGGGCAAATTCCCCACATCTCTGTCTCTAATTGGGGCGTGTCCCTTTGCCCTGTCCCTATCAGCACGGTGGAGGCAGGATGCTGCGCTAATGTATGGCCCCCCCGGTGGAATGTTTCTCCTAGATGTGCTAGGCTGACGGCAGCCCGCTGAGGTCCAGACTACAGATTAGAAGCAAATCAGTAGATTTGTTTGTCCTCTCCAAGCAGGGCAGGGCATTCAAGGAGAGAGAGAGAGAAATAGGGGCCATATTTTGTGATGGTGGGCGACAGATGGGTGTTAGTGTGACTGATGTGTTCTGGGTGAGCGGGTACTGCTGGGTCACAGACACCTGGAAACAGGAACATTAGGCTATTCAAGCGATGCCCGGGCATACTGATGCTGTGTTTGTTTTGATCAATGATCGAATGGCAAATAGCAGAGCCAAAGGCAGCTACTTTGCAGTAACACCTTTGGAGAAGATTTAGGGGGAGATAACGACGTTGTAATTACCAGCGCTAAATCGGAACTGTAGGTACTCAATGAGCTATAAACAAGGTTGCTTCTGCAGCCTTTGGGGTAATTGTTTCAGGAGCCCGCAACAGTTTGGTCCGGCACTGGTGAAATTGGAAAAGGGTGGTATCCTGTAATTTTTCAGACCACTGAAGCATGACCTGTGTGTAGGCTGGAAACTCAAGCCGATTTCAAATGGAGGTATAACTCTTTTTTTTTTTTTTGTTCCCTCCTGCTGTAAGACTCGAAGCCAATGCTCTCAGTCAGCTTTTAACCCAGGAGATGATACAAGAGACCTGTGGGTCAATGGGTACCACCTGCACTGCCTTTTTTACATTTCATAGAGTAAGCCAATTCCTATTAGAGAATATTAATGTAGTCACAGCCTCAGAACTCATGCAAAACGTTGTGTTAGATCATGTGCACAGGTGGTTAAATCTGCAGCACGTTCCAGCAAGCAGAATAAGCTTACATGGATAGGAGTACAAGCCCATTTGATGCGCCTTGCAAATGTGCCGTCTGTTAATATTAGCATAATGGAATTCAGAGCACACTTGCAGAAACTCACTAATTCATCGCAGCGTCAGGCCAGGCTAAATAATGCTGCGGCCCTTGAGCTTTGAAAGGGCGATGCGGTTCCAAATAGTCCAGCAGATTGCCAGTGTACAGCCTGAACAAGTGCCAGGTATAATTGCTGAATGTTAATGAAAGCACGCGTGGGGAGACTGTGTGTTCATCATAATGGCTCAACCAAAAGAGAGCTAAGAACCAACAGTTCATTGCTCTGAACTTGTTGGGTCACTCCTCTGCTGAAATGCAAATCATACAACAAAAACTCCCAGTAAGTGACTTTGCTGTAATCTCTCACACATTTTGAAATCAAAGTTGCTTTCTCCACAGGTGCAGACAGCTTTTGGGAAATTTAACCTCCTTGCACATTTAAAAAATGAATTTTTGCACCATTTTCTTTGCAACATAACTAAACCTCAGTCAGATTATATTAGAAATGTTAGCAGCACTTTGTGGACCTGGTTTTATGCACTGCCATGTTGAAACTGAAGGAGATTTCACCAAACTACCATTAACAATAATGATAATAATTTAACTTTATTGATCTCAATTTGGATTAATATACCTCTGTATTTAACCCATCCCCTTGGGGATCAGTGGGCTGCCACCGTGGGGTGCCTGAGGAGCAGTGTGGGGTTAAGGCCAACCCAGTCTCATGGGAAAACGTACCCCCACTACGTTGGTCCACACTGCAAAACGTAGTGGAGGTACATTAATGGCCATTTTTTTGTGGTACTGTTACGTTTCTTCTGCCTATACGCTTTCTATTGTTTTATGTCCTAGTCACGTGACTTTCAAGATTCCAGCTGGGAGAAGAAAAAAATATATATAGATGGCCGCCATTCGCTCATTTTTTTGTGGAAAGATTAATAACTTGAGTTTGTTTTTGCATTAAAATGAGTTTTGATTACATTTCTAGTGAGAAATGTATAGTTTGTTGCCAGAATATTTACTCAGGGAATGTACATATTCACTTGCTTGTTCGTTTCTTGCAAAGATTTTTCAAGATAATGTGAAACTGAAACGTTTTGGTATAAACATGGCTGAGATTTCTCAAACTTTTAGTGGGAAAATCAATAATTTCAATCAGTTTCTGCATTTAAATGGGTTTTGATTACATTTATAGCGAGAAGTGTAGGGTTTATTTACATAATATTTACTTAGTGAACATACATAATCACCCGCTTGCTAGTTTTTGCTACGGGTTTTCGGATCTCGTCAGGATTATGTGAAATTGCAACGTTTTGGCTGCTAGCCATCGCCTAGCATTTAGCTGCCGCCCCGATTCAACATTGAATTCTTTGTGATTTAACTCCATCTGACGGATCAAACCCTCGCCACTGCGTGCGTTGCGTCTGAGGTTGATTTTCAGATCAATGCATTACGTCGTGGCATACGGGAGAAACTAATTAAACTAGTTCAAAAAAGGATCATGGGTTAAGATCGGATGTGTTTTATTTGGAAATCTACCGGATCCTTTGTGCATTTAACTTCCTGTTTGGTGCGATCTCATTGATGGATTTTGACCAGATTTTGACCAAAGAGGAACTCATAAAAAACAAAACAATTTAAATACACAACCAGCATATCTGGAATCAGTGACAGAGAGCGACTGGGACCAGAAGTTTATTAATTTCTCCCCATTGATTTCCATTCAAAATGTTTTCGGTTCCACCGGGCTCTAGGGAAGGGGCGTGCATACCGCCACCTACTGTTCATGAGTGTGTAGCAACATTGTTTTACATCTATTAAATTCTATTTTTTTATTTTGTATTCTGAAGATAAATAAATAATGCTTTCCTTAATCTATAAATATCTTTTATATTTCCTTTATTTCCCAATAATCCTTTAAGACTCCATTCTTGGCCTGTCATTTCAACTCCTTCCAATTTCTTCCTTTCAGGTCCAGATGTTTTAAAGTTCATCAATACGTGTTCTACATTTTCTATCTCTCCACATCCTTCACATTTATCATTATTTTCCTCCCTATTAAGTATAAATTGTCATTTAAATAAGTATGACCTACTCTTAATCTGATCAATATTATTTCTTCCCTTCGGTTTCTCTCATTAATATTTCTATTTAATACTGACTTTTGCACTTTATATAACCTTCTTCCTTTTTTATCTTCATTCCACCTTTTTTTGCCATTTTTCAATTTCTTTCCTCTTAATAAATGATTTTCCTTCCCCTTTCCCTAAAGGAATTGTAATTGTTATTTGTCTACTTTTCATTCCACCTAACTTTCCATTAATTAGCTTGAAAACAGCAGTTTGTAGGCACCCAGTTTCTCCCAGTTTCTCCAACAATGGTTAAGGGTCTTGCTCAGGGACCCAGAGTGGCAGTCTGAGATCCCTTCCAAGCTCTATGCCCTAACCACTACGCCGCCTAATATTAGGAGTTGGTTTCTCTGCGACCAAGCACCAAACATCCCAGTCATGTTCAATTAATTAAAATGTGATTAAAAAGGTATTTTATTTCAGCAACACATTTCACTTAGTGGCTCATGGATTAATTACAAACAGATTTATGTTTTGAAGCCTTTATCTATGCCAAATAGGTAACAACCACGTATCACACTGAGAAGAAAAATAGAAAAGAGATTTGGTTTAATGAAAAGTATATTTTGACACGGGCTTAAAGAGCCCTTTTAAACTGTACAAGGAAGCTTTTTTTTAATCAATATTATAATTAGCTGAATATGACAGTGAACATGATACCATTCAGTCAGCTATAGGTGCACTTTTCCTGGCCTCTCCCAGAACCACACATATTTATTGGATTTCTACACAGAGAGTCAGGTTTTACATTCTTAAAAGTCAAGTACCCACTGTAACTCCATAGTTTTGTTTGCATTACAGCACTGTACTGTATTTGACACTTTGTGCTGTAATTTGTAAAATAAAACTTGTATGCAGTTTGCTCATTCTTGGAACCCCATTCCTTGAAGCTCTCTATACTGTAGGCCCCCCGCTTTAGCTGGACCCCAATATGTGATTTTAGGGTTCCTTACCACTTTTTCTCTGTTTTCCTGTCATTAACTATAACTTCCAATTTGTTATGATATAATTAAACATTGTTGAATATTTAATAAGGAATCAATTTCACAACTGTGCTTTCTAAGCATCACGGCACTAAATTCATCCATTAACAAAGGTTTGTAGAACCTATCTGAATACCCTGGTGATGCTGGGGGTTGATTTCCTCCTGTTCCAACATGGCTCTGAAATAATTCACAAAGCTATCCTCATTTTAGGCCCATTTAGAAATATACTAGTGAGTTTGGTGCCAAATAAATGTGAGACGGGACCCCATTACCGTTGGCAGCATGGTTGCATAGAAACTTAACTATACTATGAGTTTTAGATGGAACTTGTAGTGAAAATGTTATTTTCATATGGGATTAATTAACTCATTTTGAATTGACTGAATGAACCTGAGCTGCTCGGTGCTGAAATAAACTGAGTGGCAATACGTTACTCCATCTATAGTGTCTGTTACAAATTGAGAGGTTAAAGTTTTCCAACCACATCCACCTACATGGGTAGACTCCCGAATAACCTCTGGGCTCAGCCTTTTTATCTACTGCACCAACTGGACTCTGAGGCTGTGAAGGAAATCACAGTAAATGGTCCACAGCAAACTGATGTCACTGT